GTTAGACAAGACTTTGCTATTCGATAGATTTTCTTGTTGACTTCCGTACGATGATGATAGCCTTTCTGACCAGCACGAGCAACCGTAAACTGTACACGAGATGGATGCCAAGCTCCAATACACGCCACCTAAACCAAGAGACTTATCAGTATTGTTAAAGTAACCTAAAAACTTTTCTAGAAAATGAGTGAATGGCTCAGCTTCAATATATCAACAAGAGCTTTTCAGTCCACTACTTCCACTTGGCCTTATACATCACTGCCACCGAACTACTGTAAACAAAATGCTTCAATTAAATCAGAAAAACTGTACTTTTCGAAGACCCTTATGTGTTTTTCGTGGAAGTTTTTTTGTATGCCAACGACTTGTAACACCTTTGAAACCTTTTCCCTTGGTAACACCAATAGTATCAATCATTTCATCTTGGGCGAATACCGAGTCCACTGGCACCTGTGTGTGAAGAATGTTCTAGTTAATTTTTCTTCCCTTGGTAAGACTGAGAAAAAAAAAAAAAACATTTGCATGTCATTAAGCGGTCTTAAAATTAATCTACCTGTTTTTCGAAATGTTCATAAGCCCAATCAACTTTTTCGGGGACTGTACCACCATTTATTTGTATTTCCATAATGTGGGCCTTTTTCTCCCGATGTTTCATAACTTTCATCTGCAAAGTCGAGAGTGAGTAGAAACTCTACGTGAAACTTGAATTCGGTTTAAATAAAGAAAAAAAATTAAATATGAATAAAGAAAAAAAGAAAATCTCTACCCCAAAAATGAACCTGTGTGTGTGCAATAACACGAATTATTGAACAATATTTCTTCATCTTGGCCAAATCAGCTTGTATCGACTTCATACCATCCTCATCCTGCCATTTCTTCGCATGCTTTTGAAATGCCTTTTTCTTCGATGAATTCCTGTGGAATATGAGAACTCTAACAGTGTAAAAGCAAAGAACAAAAAGCTCCCGCTTCTTACGCCGTTTTAGTGGCCTTCATGTTACACTGACAACATTTGTAACAGCGGAAGGTCGGTTCTCCGACGACTGAATTTGCTACTCATGCAAAACACTGCACAGGAGAGTGACAGTATTTTCAAAACCGTGCACTGAAGTAACCAATTCATTCCAAATGTAGCAAAATGACATTGAGGCATGGAACATTACAATCATGCTAGAAAACGAAAGCTCAGAAGGAAGGCAGCATATACTAAGACTGTTGCTATCTTCATAACTAGTAAGTATCTCTTCCTAGCCCCTCTCGTCACAGCTTTCAGAATTTTGCACAAGAGGATCTGGGAGTCGAACCCAGGGCACCCACTTGCAAACCACTTTGCCCACAACACCACCATGCAAACCACAACCCATCCTCAATGCTGCAAACTGATGAAAGTGTCTAAAGAAATCCATTAAATGTACCAGTTTTTGTAGAACCTTCGTCGACAATCTTCTGACAAATGTTCTGCCCATACTGTCTTAAATTGTCGCGGACCGCGCGGCGTATCGATGTATCCCACCACACCAACGATAATCATTGGAGGTGTTTCCAGAACTGTCACTGCTTCGACAACTTCCTTTTTATTAACCTTTGATCCTGGCTTATCAACCTATAATAGCCACATATTTAATATATGTGAAACTACACAATGTCTAGTTGGAACACAAATATGAAGCACTCAGTCCAATAGGGAACATTTTATGGCTCATCACTCTATTGCTCAAATAATAGTCAATGAATTCATCATTGTGCATTGCTCACTAATACAAACATCAAAAAGTCAAAATAAGAAAATGATACCTCACGGACAATATGAGTCATCCCAGCCTTAAAACCCATAAATGCAGTCAAATGAATCGGTTTTGAGGGATCATCCTTGGGAAAGGCCTTAACTTTTCCACGATGGCGTTTCGATCGTTTCTTGGGTGTAAAACCCATCGATCCATGTCGTGGAGCCGAAAATTTACGATGAGACATTGCAAGTCCGACTAACTAAAAATTAATTTCAATCATGGTTTTCATCGTCCACTTTAAAAGTATCATTGTTCCATCGGTAACCACAGAAAAGAAGCAAATACTTCAAAATGTGTGTAATCTAACATACAACATAAACCATAAACAGTTACTCATCGAAGAATTAAGACAAATGGAATTAATTATCACTCCAAGGTCTGAATCCAATTAAGTAAACAATTTTTTTCTCCAGCTCATAAGGGGAGAATAGATGTTCTCATTCTACAGGAACGAGAACGAAGAAAATAAAAAATATAACACCCCCGCCCACAAAAATACTTTTCCTAATCCTTGCCTCAAAATTAATTCCCATTGGAAAACATCAAAAATGGACAATTCCAACTAAATAAATAAAAAATGAAACTCCTAAATGACTTCCCATACTTTCTGCACGTTAACTTACTACAAACCACAGCAAAAACCATTTTCCATATCAAAATACCATAACAAGAAAAACTTGATTAAGGTGTCGAAAAAGCACAATGATTTGGTTCAAAATCTAGAAATCTTGGAAAACTGATAGATATTACAGTTTGCATTGCATATTATAAGTGAAGTGATAAACATATCTAAAGAAAATGCCTATGAATCATACTGAATCCAAATGTTACAACCCGCTTTTCTATGTTTTCAGGCGAAAGCTATAATCCACCTGTTCAAGACAACCAAACTCCACTTCCCCACCACCACCCACCCCAACCAAACCATCCAGACAACTAGCCTTGCTTCATTCAGCATAATTTTTAGGGCCTTGCTACAGTAATCAGGTTATCAGTTTAGATTTTCAGTTTGCTAATACAACTTCATATCCCAAATATTCTGTCTCACAAAGAATTATGTTATTCTGACAGTAGCAGTATGAAAAATTATGTTTCTCTTCATCTTATGTATTCAATCTAATTGATAAATATGTGGAGAAATCATTTAGTGTCTATTTGTGATGGAATTTAGCAAATGGGTTACGTTGTTCTTATTACATCATTGTGGGTCCGTTAATTAGTTCTCATCTAACAATTTAACAGACCTAAAATGGATTCATGCCATTGCTTTTCTCCCATTCTATTTTTTTCCTTCGAGAATAAAATTTAGCTAACAATGAAATCTTGGGTAAAATCATTAGCCAGTCAGATGTATTTCTCAGATCTATTGCTAAATATATGTATGTATGAATAGAACAATTGTAAATAATGACATTAACATATAAAGAAATATAAATGAATAATTTTGTTTCATATTACAGTTTACTACACTTATGTATATGTATATATGTAGATAATTGGATTTATGCATGAAAAAACAAGACATCCTTATATGCTGTCAAGGAACTCACGCCTGATTGTAATTTCGTTAATTTATCACCGAGCTGAAACTTCAGACTTTTTAACTAATTCAAAAAATCTTAATCTGCGAATGAATCTTAAATGGAATTTAGTATCTTCATAGAGACTTAATGTAGCATAAAGTCAAATCTCATAGATTTCAGTGATCGGAAGTGTGATTTAACAGATAAAGATTTAATAAAAAAATTTTTAGAAAAAAGTCAAACCTAGCAATAGTGGAAACAAGTCATAAAAAAGTCAAGTCAAATTCAGTAACGTTATAGAGTTTTCTAAGATATATTTTCAGTCATTAGTACAACTATATTCCTTAGCTATCAGATATTTCTAGGGATTAATTTATTATGAAGAGTTACCATTTGTTTTCGGCACTTTTTATCACTAATTATTAACTAGTCGGATCAATTTCGCTGCCAATCATTTCTATTAGATATTTTTCTATGCTTTATAGATTGCTTAAATTAATCAATAAATTCTAGATTAATTCAAATTCTAAATTATTGCAAAAATTACAAGTTACAAAATGTGTTTGTATCTACAAAAAATAAAATTCACTTTATTCAAAAATTCTGCTATTCCCTTCTTATCATTACTCCAATTTCACATTCACTTTTACTTCATTTTAGCCACCTATATTCAACTGAATCGATCGGCAGTAAAATTTTTTGAATTTCAATTATTTTTCAAATTTATTCTTAACAATGCAAAAATTTCTGATGACATTGTGGTAATAAAAATGAATAATAAAGGTTATCTCTCCTCGTATTTGTATATAAGAATGAAAAAAAAGTGCAGAAAAAAGAATAGTATTGAAAAAGAATTATATGATTTTATTTTGATAGAAAGATGAGACGAATAAGTGCAGGTTTATATTAGAGAGGAATGCTCCTCTCAATCATTCCTCTACAATCAATGACACTTCACTGCATTCAACTATTCATCAGCATAATCACCTTATCTGATTTCGTGATAATTTAGTTTAAAATAAAACTGCGATAATCTCACTTTGATCAGTTTTTAATGAAAAATCTATCACCTGAGATATCTTCAATTGCATCCTGAATTCGTCATACTTTTACATATATACTACATTCAGTTCTGTTAAATATTTTAATAATAAAGTCTTCTTCCTAATATCAGTAGGACAGATAGGAACAAATTGAAGTCTTTTTTTAGTCATTTCCTTCTAACTTTTGTTTTTAACTGTTTTCCTTCTCTTTCTTTTCATTTTTCATTGATTTGACAGAATGAACGAAATGAACGTTTTCTTTTTTTCTTAATTACATTACCTTTTCGTCATTTTTTTTTTATTTTCCACTTCAAATATTTCGTTTCATTTAATACAACTAACATGCATTCATACCAGAAAATCATTTGAAATATTAGGCATTCATCCATGCAGTGATATCATCCTTTTTGTTTTGCCATTTTTCATTTAGCATTTCAAAATATCAACAGCAAAAAGCAATTATAAGAAAATTTAGCAAAAAAAAAAAAAAAAATACAAATTTGAATATTATATTAGCTGTGTTAAATAATTTCTATTTTTATTCGAAATCATTAAACAGTAGACATTAATATATTATGATTTTAATATTTAGATATTTATTTCATAAATTAATTAAATTTGTTAAAACTGCTGTAAGTTTTTGCAGAATGTGGCATTGTAACTTATTAATATTGCTATTGCTTGTCATTCAATTTTGCTTTGCTCAAGAACAAGCAGTGAATACTTTTCCAAATCCTCGTACTAATGGCTACAGTGATTGTGGGCTAAAATCGAAAGGATATGTGTGTGATCCAGATCAAGTTATTTTTATTCAATTTTTTATTGCTTAATTACTTACTCGAAATAACTTCCTAAAACTTATTCGAAATATCTTTCGAGACAATAATGGAAAGTTTTATTAATCAAAAATAATATTGCTTAGACTTAGTAAAATATCATTTTTTAAATATTGATATCTTCATAGCTAATAAGACAAATAGCCCATTCAAGAAATGAGTCATGAAATAAAAAAACGAAATCGATGAAGTGATTAAAAATGACAAATGATCATCTCTGATCAATTTCCTTCCTTTTATCCTTTTGTTCTTTCTGCTATAGCTTGAAGATATTTAATTAAGCGTTATCCTGATGGAAATTGTAAAAAATATTCTAGCAATTTACCGAACAAGAAAGATATCGACTGAACAATGATTTGCTTCAACTGTCACAACGAACCTCGGGTGATCAAAGTGCGGACTTTTGCACCACAAAAGGTGTTGATGCTACTTTATTCATCACAAAACAGGTTATCATCAAAAATTTTCTATTTTTTCATGAACATAATTCATTGACAATTAAACTTTTTGTTTCATTTTTCTCTTCGAAGTTCTCAGCTTATGATTATTTTTGTTCTGTGCTTTTTTCTTAACTTATCTTTATTCTTTCTCTCCTGAATTCAAATTGGAAATAGCATAATATTCCAAGTATTAACTTAGGGTTTAGTGATAAAATTTAGCTTTTAATATCAAAAAGTTTGATACTGCTAGCATGAAGTTGAATTTCAACAGTTTTAACTTACAGCCAATGCTATAAATTGGAACTTTGTCATGGCAAATCTATTTAACTTTCTGGTTAAAGTTGCTAGAAAAGTAATTAAAATGTAAAACAAGCGAATGTGAAAGCTTTTAGGGTAATGAGCAATTAGCACATCAGTTGAATACCCTTTGGGCTATTGATGAGCAATGTAAAAAATCAATGGTTTTCGTACTTTCGACCAATGACCATAACTTATATTATGCAGCCGATGAGAATTCTCCCATATGTTTGTTTGTTTATCCAAAAATTTTATTAATTTTTTTTTTATTTCAACTGCAATTATATAACATCAAGATGATAAAGATTTCATGAGAATGCTATAATGAATTACTTAATCAGATGATTTGAATAAGGTAATCCGAGGAGTTAGCTGAGTATGAATAAAAATAATTTAATGACCATCATTGTAGCCAATACATGATCACCTTGCATTGTCATCTAGACGGGATATCATTTATCAGAGACACATAGTTCGTAATTCAGTAGAAGGTTCTAAATGAGATTGTGAAGATTCACCTCTCTTCCTCTCTCTCTCTCCATTGTATCCCTTTATAACTATTTGCATTCACAATTTATATAGTATTCCTGAACAATAGTTCAATTTTTATTTTAAATTCATCTAATTAATCAGATTATTGATGAATTGAAATATCTGATTGTTATTAGTAGATTGAACGGTACCTATATACTCAGTGGGGTTTGTATATAGATATCAAATATCCACCAGTTAAAAGTAGGAAAATATAAATTATAAATGCTAAGGAAAAAATATTTTAAACATACTTCTTCAGTCATTCAATTTAAATTTAATTTTTAGCAATTAATAGTTTCAAAAAAATAATCAAAGAACAGCAGGAACTTTTAAACGAAGGCAAATTTACGAAAGCTTTAACGACGATATTTACGAATCTTGGCGAATCTATTCAGAACAAACAAAGCAACAAAAAAAGAATAGAGATAAATGGTTGCTTATGCAAATTTGATCAAAATTAAAATTTTTAATCAGTCAAACGTATATGGTGTAGCAAAAAATTGTAAATTCCTTTAAAACACAAATTAAAGTTTTTCTCAGAAAAATTCCTTTTTTTTAACTTCTATATAAATCGTATAACATCTAAAGATCTTGGTGTTTAGAACATCATTTTGAAATTTGAAAAAAATGAAGTTTTAAAGTTTGACCGATCAACTCCTGGCTGAATTCTGAATTATAGTATTAGGGGAAAGAAAACCACTAAAATAAAGCTATGTATCGAAAACACAATTAGAACGAAATAATTTTAATAAAAGTCAAATTTCAATATTATATAACTAAAGCTCAGAATGTTTCAGATGATATGCGAAAAGGAGGAACATCGAACGGTATTACCCAAATCAGCATTTTCTTATATTTTATGATAATTTCATCAACTGCCTTACACTTACTCGCTGTATAATAATATAGATCCAGTGTGAATTAGCACCACTTGCGTAATCTAGAAAGTCTCAAAGATGTCTGAAAAGTTAATTTAAGAGATGTGAAAATCTCGGTCTAATATAATCTATTATTGATAAAACTCAAAGCTTTTATTAAAATTTTTCCGTTACATCCGAGCTAATAAGAAATTTATTGTCACATGATGTACACAAGCTAAAAGAAAAAAAGAAACAAGATCTTACAGTTAATTTTAAATTTAATCCTCTCAGGATAAAATTGATTTTTAGAAATGGAAATATGCTGGTGGAATCCTTGATTATTTTCATAGACAGCAATATATCAGCAAAACCAACAAAATTCACTTATTGTTCCCCAATTGTGTTCGTAATTAACGATTTCACTCATTCATCATATTTTACAAAACCTCAGTCTACCCTTTCAGTCATATATGGTTGTTGCTTGTATATGAATTATTTTGTCACGCACCGATTTTTCTAAATTATCACGTCTTGAATCTTTACATAACATATGTTATAACGTGAACCTTCGTCGAACTCCTGCAGTTCTTTTACAATCCACCTTGATTTAACTTCTGCTTTACAACTATATCAGCTCAACACTTTCTCAAAAATAAGTGGTGAAGGTGATACTGCATCCCAAAATTCGTAAAACATTGCAATAAATGGATTACCACTTCATGAATTCATGGAGATCATTTCCTTTTAAAAAAAATGTCAAAAAAAAATTAAACGAAAAAAAATCAATTTTGACACAACTGTTTCAAGATGATACGTATAATTTGTGAGAAAAGGATTCAAAAGAAGGAATTCGGTCATTCGTGAAGTGAACTATCAGATCCTTCCTGCACTGCATAACATCAAACTTTTATAGAATCTTCAAACTGATACTATTCCCAACTTACTGAATGGTTGGTAAATTTTAAGCAAATTACGAATGTTTTATAAAAGTGAAATATATGTTATCATGAGGAAAACAAAGACTTAAACAACTGATTTCTTTTTTCATGACTCCATGTTGCCTTTTCAGCCATCGATGGAAAGAAATTTACCAGTTTTGGGATTACTACATATCGTATCTTACGACCCTTTGACGCTTTCGTATCGACTTTTCTTCTTTTTGACCGTTTCTGTCGCAATTTCTGTACTTCTAACCACTGTCTTAAATGAAATACATTAGCAGTTGTGCCAATTACAATATGAAGAATAGTAAAGTTAATTTTGCTAAAATTACGTATTTCTATATGAAATAGTACATGTAGCGAAATCTGATCCAAAAGATGAACTAAAAAAGCAAAAAAAGCTTAAAAAGAACACTATGTATACAGGGACGTGATAAAAGACGATATAAAAAGCAGATGAATTAATTCCTTGATTAAAATTGAAAGTCAGTAAATTTAAATAAGTTATATGAAACCATTACATGATATAAATACCTCAAAACGTGACATAGCTTTATTAAATTTGGCAAGAATCTTTTACCTGCTCATTTCTACAGGATCAACCACATTAGCTGACTTCCTTTCAATAAGTTCCTTTAGTAGCTGTTGGTAAAAATCGTCGTCGTCAAATATTTCTGCATCGTAATCATTCTGGAACCAATTATTGAGTCTAAATAAGCCTCGAGAGAAATTATTTATAAATGACAAAAAAAAAAAATCAAAATTTGGCAAACTTACGCCTTCAACGCCACCAATTCGATCAACATCATGCCGCTTCATTTGAGTTCTACGTAATAATCGGTGTTTTTCATTCATTATCTAAAAAAGATTAATATCCAAAATCGGCCTCAAGAAGAAATATGCATATTGATTGGAATGTATCAGCTGGTTTAAAAAAACCACTTCCAAAAGTAATCGAAAAAAAAGGTGCACCCCACCTTAAAAAAAGTATTTTACCTGTTCAATCTGCTTCAACACAACAGATTCAAAACCACTGAAATCTTTCTTTCTGTTTTTTATTATGCCGATAGTATTCAGCGTTGTTCGTTCGTCCCATTTTGATAATGTGGATGATCTAAACAATGACTTTGAAATGACTAGAAATTAATGATAAAACTTATGAATTAGCGTTGCTGAAATAAGTTAATCTCACTGAAATGCTGCAAATCGTTCATGACGTTTTTCGTATTCCTTCGTTAATTCTTTCGGCATTAGCTTCTTTCTTTTGCCTAAGATCTCCTGATCACGATTCACTGTTTCGTTATCTTGCGTGATGCTATAAGAAATATTTACTCAGCTGTTTCTACAACTTCATATCAAATGAAGTTCGATTCTCGTATTACTTTTTTAATGACTAAAAGTTTAAAAGTCTATCAACAGGAAATAGAAATGACAATATTACAAAACTCGGTGAAGCTTGCCTTGCATTTGACAAGCATATATCAGAATCTCCCTCACTCTCTTTAGTATAAGATTCTATTGCACTGTCGTCTTCTTCATTACAATCGATCAAACTTTCAATTTCTTCATCGTCTGAATTTTCGACTCCTGAAAACAGATTAGTATGTACCCATTAAAAAAGAGAGAAATTTCTAAATCAAAAGCATCTCAAATAAATATTCTAAAGAACATACTTTTTCCACAATTGTCGTCAGAAAAGCCTTTCGTCTGCTTCGCTGATTTTAATAGTTTATCTTCCATTGTCGTAAATATTTTATTCAGTTGTTCCAAATTCTTTTGCACTAAAAATAATTTTTCCAAAAAGCCTTTTTTGTACTTCTTAAAAAAGAAATCAAGCCATGAAAATCCTAAAAAGTAATCAAAAAAAAAAAAAAAAAAAAAAAGAAAACTGAATACTGGAAAGTGAGTAATTAGTTTGTGTTTCTTCAAAAAAAAAGAAACTACTCCAGAAGCCTTCTTTCTCAGATACTTTTGTTCGAGAAAATCCATGAAGAATTTTCTAAAAAAGAATTAAACTGTACTAATTCTGCAATTTTTTTTGGTGTCAAGATCTGCTGACTGCAGCAACTTCTTGGCAAGTTGATCTCTTGGAAGTTGATTGAATATTCGCAGTGCTGCATGTGACAGGATATGCAACTGCATCAATCGGTCCCAAATCATCAATTGCTTTTGAACACTTTCAGCTATAATTGAGAAAGTATTTTTAAAAATGAATATGAAGTAAAACAAATCGCTTAAATATCCTTGTGCTTCCAGAGATTTTTATTTAAGAGTATCAGTATGAGTCCGGATTTTACTGTCCTAAAATAATAGCGCACACTGCGTCATTATTATCAAAAATTTTTAAATTGGTTAACAAATCGAAAAAAAAATCGCTTAAATGGACATAAATTTTAAAAAATGAACTTAGACGGAAAACGTTCATGAGTTTATGAGTTTACAGACTCTATCCAGTAATACCAAAGCATAAACTATAAATTTTCTAGTCGCAACTATGGTCATAATTGTTTATATCATTAAGTAACAACTGCTGACTTATAACATAATTGGACTTCTCTCCAAATGAAAATAATAAAAATACCTTTCCCACGTTGCGTATCATTCAAGATCGTTATGACACCGTCGGCAACAACATTCTTATTCTTCGACTGCGAAAGCTCAGAATCTTCTCTCTCTAAAAAATCATGCTTAAACTTTCACTTATACTTATTTAATAATAATAATAATAATATATTTAATATAAAAAAATTTAGTATAAACCTTTTGATATTAGCATTGCCTTAAAGGTAAGAGGAAAACTTCTATTATAAATAATGATAATTCTGGATTAAATAGATGGTACAATACTTTGCACGGAGTATTTTCAATTCTACGGTTGTCTCATGCATTATTAAACTTCATACTTACGAATTTATACCTTCACTTTCAACATTATCGTTAGCAGAAAATGATTCTTGATCCGTACTATTGCCAACACTATTACTATCACTGCTGTCTTCCTCGTTTTTTTGATTATCTGTATGAAACTCATTTATAAAAGACGCTTTCTAGATCATCTGTACGAAATCATTTACAAAAAGATCAAGCTCATAATATTGCAATATATCCTATACAAATATTATTTATTTAAAGGACGAGTCATAAGTACGCAAATGACGAGCATATGACCAGCTTTACTGATGTACTAAACAAAGCAAGAAATAATCGATTTGATGACTACAAAGTTCAAGTGATAGAGTAATCAGAGAATTTCATAACTAAATAACTGTGACAAACCAAATACTTATTACTAATTAAATCTGTTATAGACATTCATCGCTAAGCAAACGATTTATAGCTAATAAGCTAAAACAAATTTGTTTTCCACTAATTCAAAAGAATTCAAATTAGATGAAATAACTAACCTGGATTTTCACTGACCTCAGTGCTTGCATCAAATCTCATGTGTGCTAGATCGGATATTCTACCACCAGTAAAAACATTTTTTGATGATACTTTCTGACCTACATAACGTTCATCTCCTAGTTCTTGAGTTGCAATTATTCGTCGTTTCAAGAATTCTGTCTGAAGATTGGTCATCCACTGATGAAATTCCGAAACATTATGAGTTTCTTGTCATTTCTACTATTAAAATCTAGCAAATAATTAAATGTATTTGATTCCACATTTTCGAATTGGTCCCATAGATACTTTTCCGCAAAAGGATAAACACATTCTTAATTCTTAAGAAAGGTAAACACAATGACAGCGCCCTTAAAAGTATCTATGGGACTTAACAAAGATATAAAATCTCATGTGTTTTAGGCATTAACAAAGATATAAAATCTCATGTGTTTTAGATTTAACATACTATCAGTGAAAATTTCTTCTATAACAATTAACAATCAAATTAATTAACATCTTGTAAACAAATAAACTAGTCGAACTTCACATTTCAATATGCTGCAATATGTCAGATATATATGTTCCTCTCGTCAAACATAATGCATAGAGTATTCGATATACAGAGAATCATCAATAAAAGATACTTCCATTGGGTCGAGAAACTTATAAAATTCACAAAATTATTCGCATAAAATTTAATTTTGAGAGCGGCTAGGTTCGATGTATTACATGATACTTATAACATTGTAGCCTCATTTTCATTATACTTTAAGATTAGGAACTTTTTTTTTTTTTATGATTACCTTATGTGTATGGTGTTTCTTTCGACGATTCACTGATGATTGCTACTTGTTTTCCTGTTTTTTTATTGGTGCTAACATAGCTTTTTTTTCTTATGTACTTTTCTCCTATGCATTGATATATAGGCTTTTGACTATCCTGATTGTTAATCTGTGTTTCAGGTATTTCCTTCTTTGAGTTCTGTTATAAATTTTATTGGTTTTGTGTTGTTTAATTATTTAATGTTTGCGTCTTTTTTTTTGTCTTTTTTAGGTATTTCTCTTTATAAAAGATAGATCTTCTATGTTTACTTTTGTGGTGCTGTTGATGGTTTACCAATCTTTTTTTATTGGTGATGAACTTCCTATCCTCCTTTAAGGTTTGAAAGTCAGTCTGAGGTTTGTCTGGATGCTATAGTCCTGGGATTGCATGCTATTGGCACTGGTTCTTTGTTGGGTGTCTTTTCTAGTAATTAAAAGAGGAAATAAATGATGAAAGAAATAAATAATCAAAAATTACCTGATCCGTTTGCTCGTTTTCTGTTTTGTTTTGTGCCCAGGTAGCCTCTGAATCTAAAAAACAAAAACACTGGGAACAATGCAATATATAAAATTTGATCTACCTAGACGCACTACACTTCTAGGACCTTTTACTCTGCTACCGCACAGAAAGTACATACCTTCAGTAAGATCGGCTAATTCAATATCAGGAAGTTCAACCACTTGTCCATCTAGCGAATCAATAAACTGCTTCACCAGTGACGCCATAGCTACCTGAACATTAATTGTTATAGCTTACTACCAGCTCCCACGTAATATTGAAAATCCAAAAATGTTTTTATGCTTCATCATACAATTGACCTAGCTGTTGTGGTAAAGGTCTAAGACATACAAAAAACAGATTACCTTGTTTTGCAAGGAATATCACTGTAAAAAAACGTGACAATTTCAGTAAGGAAAAAGTATGGTGTTAAGCGACAAAAAATGCATGTATGATTATAACAGCACATCAGATAGCAAGACATTAAAAATTTTAACTAATGACATTAAAGAATTTACAAAATTCCACTCCTTAAAAATGGATAAATCAAGTTAGCGTACGAACTTTCACTAATTTTTCGACGATTTAATATTTCTTGTACATATATACAACTTATACAACTCTGTAACAAAGAAATTATCCACAAATAATTTATAACATAAAAATTCCAATGAAAAAGAAAGGAAGGAACACCAGCTAGCAAAATAGACGCATGCGATTGAATCAAATTCGCTATTGATGTGCACAGGTGAGAAGTATCCTTTCGTACGTGACGTACGTGTTAAATATGATTTTTCTCTTTGTGAGGTAAGCAGAAAAATGTGACTCATACGAAATTATTCAACTTTTTAAAGTTATTGACAAAAATTTCAGAACCGAAATGGGTATAATCCAGCGGCATAATACAATGGATGTGACTTATCGTGAATGTGCAAGATATGCCATGATTGCCAAAGAGATCTCAAACTTGAAAAAGGAAGGCAGCAGTCATCGGCGGCATCATTCCGAGCCCATTTGTTATCCCAGTACTCTGTCACATTATTTTCCGGTTTGTTTGTTTCCTTACAATTTTGCCTTCTTTCTCAATTTGGAAGAAGTAATATTTTTATTTTAGGTTATGTTTTCATATTTATATGTTAAAAACTTGAAGTGGCTTCTTCTTTTTTTTTCAACTGAGGGAAATTATTGAAAAACCAGTTCAAGTAATGATTTTTAATACATTTAAATGAAACCTGAGTCTTTGAAAATTCTACTTTTTCGAGGTAGATTTTTGATAAGCACTTTGGTGATACAGGGTTCAGAAGAAGCATCGGAATTGCCTCTGAATGATAGTGAAATGGGTGATAGTCGAGTTGGAGGAAGTTGGGGTGATGCAAAGCGTTTCCTCATTGAGTCACGAAAACAAGATCTGGAGATTTCGAGGGATCTGGAACGCGTGATTTTTTACATATTATTGTTCCGCTTTATGTGAGAGACCTTAATCTTGCTGTGGTAATAAAATAGAAACATATCTCATTTATCGGCATTCAGTCCCCATGTTTATTTATTTCTTGTTTTAATTCTTATGCACTGTAAGCCACATGTGAACAGTGGATTTCTTTGTAACAAATAGCAGCGTATTTAATTCCAAGAAAAATTTTTGAAACTGTTTCTTTTCTGCAATTCTCTTAGAAACTTCGACAATAACTGTATTTAGATTTTTTTAGGAAAATATGCATTTATATCTGAGTGAAGTGCTTATTGCTGCTATGGAACAAATGCAATGGCGTGCAATGGTCGAAAATCAACAGAATTCCATTGCGCAAGTCAGAAATGTTGGTATTCGTGAAAATTAAATGAAGCATCTTCGACTAATCTTTTATGGTTGTTACGTTAAATTATTAGCTTTAATTATCTAATTTTTTAATTTAACCATATGGTAAATTTATATATGCAGTGTACTGAGCATTATCTGGGTGAAGTATAGCTGCTGGAAGCAATATCTTTTGAAAAGTATAACTTGTGAAGTTGACAATTGTTACATGATGGCCTAAGAAAACTGAATCGTATTAAGACTTTACATTCAGTTCACTATCAGTTGTCCTTGAACGTGAGGTAGAGTCAGGAAGAAAAATTGTGATTTTTAGACAAGTTCATGTCCTACATTGGCAGTATCTTCTTCGGAGTCGGTTGTTGACGATTCTTCTGAACAAACTGAAGAAAAAATTACTGCTGGTCCATCAGTATTCTGTGCTTCTGCTGAAGATTTACCATACAGCGAGGATAAGAAAATGTAAGTGAAAAACTAGCAGTATTCATTAGATGGATGTCTTGTTGGTACGAAATAAAATATTTTTCTAGAACGATTTCCAGTTTGATAAGCGAAGTTTTGAATGATTGTCTCACGGAATGTCATGTATTAGGTCCAGTAGAAGCAGTGAAGCTGACGATGATAGTATTTGTGAAAATTCTGCTGAAGCAGTCGCATCTTCACTTTTCAAGCAGTTTTCAACGGCTTACAAACCACGTTCAGCTGCCGATATACAGTGGCTTGTTTCTTATGCACAAGCACCTCAAAGGGTACTTTTTTCTCTTTTTTCTTATATTACTCTGCATATATGCTTTGCATAATTGTAAGGTAGTTTTACTTTTTTTTAGCTTCTTCCAATGCCTAATGACATAGCGGTATTTTTCGATGAAATAGGTAACGATGGTCGACCAATTTTTTTTCGTGGTTCGGAGAATTGGGCGCCTCCGAGAAAGCAGTGGATTTTTCAGCTTCATCCAGAGCTTCAGAGGTTTTATATTAAGGACTGATTGGCTATAAATAATGTATTTTATTGCTATTGAACATGCTTTAATAGATTCTTAAGACTAAAACGAATTTAGCCTTATTTGTGGGGTCATTGATAATATCTGCCGATTAATTTTATTGTGCAGTTTTGCTAGTTTTAATAAAATTTTTGGACAGTTTGACTGGGTTGGTTACATGTTTTCAACAGCGGCTTTTGAATTTTCCGAATCTGAGAAAATGTTTAATTTTTTCTTCGAGTTTTTGTTGATTTATAAATTTATTCAGTTTCGGTAGCTTGCAGTGTGCGAAAGCTTCTTGAACAACAGCAATATCGTTGTGGTGGGTGTGGTATTAAAGTTGCTAAAGTATACTGTCGTCGAATGCGTTATTGTGATTACTACGGCAGAGTATTTTGTCAGCGTTGCCATCAAGGTGCAAGAAGTCGTATTCCAGCACGCATTGTATATCAGTGGAATTTTAAGTATGTTTGTTTAGTTATCATTCGGGAATCAAAGGAATTAATAGACTCAGATATTCAGCAGTGTAGTTTTTTGAGGTGTAAGCTGTCATTTGAGCAATCTTAGAATGCGAAGGGCTGCTTCTATTTACAATAGATTGCATTTTGCAGAGAATATCCTGTATCCGATATAGCACATCGTTTCTTATTAGATAACCATCGACAACCGGTGATCAATGTATCAGCGATTGATTCTCGTTTTTACAGCAGAATTCGTCGATTGAAAAAAATTAGGGAATTACGAATAAAGCTTGTACATATTTGGTCTTACATACGACTTTGTAATATTGCTAAAGAAACAATTACAAAATATGGAAAGTAAGCGTTAATGTCCAAGCTTTAATGATTTTATGGTTTTCTACGATATATTGAGTGTCTTTTGCAGTTTACAAATGAATTTTGATTAGTTCTAGTTGCAGTTCATTTTTTGTTGCTGTTGTTCTTTCTGTAAGGATTATGCTATTTAGTGAAGCTAAAACTATTGGATGTACTGCTCTTCAAAAAAGACTTCTTTCAGCTTATATGCTACATTTTCTACAGTACCGAATTATATGTTGTCAGATGCAGATGTCTACTCGGTGGAAGATTTAGAAAATGTACAGAAAGGAGAACTTTTTCGAACCATTGCTCCTCTTGTACAATATGGACAATATCACATTGAAGGATGCGAGGTTAACTATATCTTAATGTCCACTATTCTTTTTCGTGTCATTTGTTTTATAGTCAACATTTTTATAATTTTAGCATTGCCGTGCTCAAGCATTCGTCTGTGAACTTTGTGATGAAAAGAATGATTTACTCTTCCCGTTTCAAGTTGCATATGTGGATCGTTGTGAAGAATGCGGTTCATTAAGTCATAAGAGATGTGCTATTAAACGGCAAAAAGATGAAAAACCATGTCCTAAATGTTTGCGAATTCGACAAAATCTGTAAGCTTATTTTCTTGCCACAGTTAAATTAATATTAAAAAAAACGATAATTATTCCATCCGTTCCTTTTCATTGCATAAATTATCGCTTGCGTTGTAGCAGTTTGCAGTTTATAGTGTGGTAAGTCAGTGCAGAAGCATTGCTTAGAAGTTTATTCATTTGCAAAATTTTTTCGAGCCATTTTGCATGTTTCTTTTTACAATACAAAATATTGCACATGAAGTGATATTTTTCGCGCCAAATTTTAAGTGAAAGACATCGGTGTTATTCGGAGTGGTCTTTGACACCAATTGAACAGCAGGTTTCAACGATGTCATCGTTGAACGATTAATAGAAGTGTTGTGATCTAACGAAATTCGCTTGCATTGAGATATATAAATTCATTTTTAACTTTGGATTACTTTTGTCTTCTCAATTCCTGTGTAAATGCTTCGAAATTATGATTTAATTCTCATGGAGGGCATTCTTGACTGATTCCGAAAGAAATGTCCATTTCCACTTTCTTTGCAGACAAAAGGATAGATTTGCCTATTTTAATTTTGTTTGCTTTCATTCAATTTGAAAGCAAACAAAAATTGATGAAAATGACACTTTGTTTTGAAAGTGAGAATACAGCTATTGTACATGATTATTCACCCTAACTTTGTTGTACTGTCATATATTTTATTTTTGCATCGGAAGACTCTTACTACCTGTTAGGAAGTCACGTTTATAGCCTGATCTAACCATGAAAGGCAATTTTGACGTTATTTTTGCTGATTTTTCATTTCTGAGCATTGGAATGCTTGTCTTCTGTTGTGACCCACGAAATGTTTTCCCATGAATGATCTTACATTTTGGATAGTATTGCTGAACATGTATTTTATTATTGATAACACTGCTGAATATATACTAAATATTTAATTTATGATTCCTCGCCTTTTCATATTTACAAGTGGACTCATGCTCAAAAATTCCTGTTTCCAGCTGTGCTGGTATTATTATTAACTTGTACAAATCAGCTTTTGTGTTCTCTGTTATATTTCATTCACCAGCATAATTTGGTGAATCACCGGTTACGTTAGATAATTCCTGTGATTTTCATCTGTTAGCTTCGTAATAATTAAAATAGACCTTGGGAATTATAGGTAGGTTTTTGTGTGTTTGTACAGTGTTCGTAGACGATTGTCACTTTTGTCAGTTGTAGTCAAGCGATCTTTGCTTTTCTTCGATTGAAAATCGAATTTATATAAGAGATGAGGAAGCAAAAGGGAAGTTCTAATTTACTTATTGTTCATTTTTCATTCTTCCACGTTTTTGAATTTTATTTTTTTATTTTTCGATGTAGTCATTTGTCCATGAGATTTAACACAGTTACTATTTAAGAAGTGAATTTTCAGATCTAAAAGAATCTAGTCTCTCTTAATATTATTGAAATATTACGATGTAATTAAGAACATAATTCATTATAATACTGTTAAATATTGATATTTTGGGAGCATAATAAATATAATAAGGCATTATAAATTTTTTTTTATTTCAGTTTGTATTTTATTTCACTAATTTTTTATTCACTTTGTTTTCAGTTTATAATTGTCGAAATGATGTTATTTGCTCGACAAAAGATCATGTCTGTACAGTATCAAGTAAAAGTTATTTTTAGGATGAAAATATGTCCAAGAAATAAGATGAATTGTCATTTCAGCAACTGATTTTGGCGTTTGATTCACATGAAAGTCCCGTAAATCTATAAATCATCTTGAAAAAAAAAAAAAGAATTTTGAGTTTAGTAGAAATTACGGTCTACACTTATTCCAGATTTCTAACCAAAATTTACTGTAAGTATATAATAGAAAAAGGATACAAATCCATCGAATACGAATAATATAATGATTTGGATCCGGCATTATCTTGTTCAAGTATTATGTGTCAAAATTTATTTGAAATAATGAATAAAATTATTTGATAATTTTTGCTTTTTGTCCTCTTCCTCCTTGTTTGCAGTTTTTATTTATTTATTTTTTGATAATGACAATATTATCATTTGTTATTTGTCATTCAGTTCATTTATTTCCTAATAGACATCATTTCTGAATATTTCAATTTGTCCAATTATTATTTTTGTTGTTAAAGAGAAAAGAAAACGAAGGAAATCTTTACACTTTATTTTTTATTATCATACATGTCGTTTCTTTCGTTTATTTCTTTCCACGGTTGATTGATTATTGAGAGAGTATGAGCGATGAAAGCTCTGACAAACGATTTCTTGAAATTTTAGCAATTTCAAATGTCCTATGAAAAGTGTATGACGAAATTGATATAATATTTATGAAAAATGTAAATAATTTGGTAAATAAAAATTGCTTCTTTTTTAATTGAAATTTTTTTTCTCATGTTTTATTAATGATTTTAAATGATGGTAAATGCTGTTTTATACTCTTTTTATTTACTCTGATAAAAGTGAATAATTGAATAAGGGATTTAAAAAAATAAACGATTTTTAAATCGTTTATTTTTTTGTCAGTGATGATTTGTGAATAGTCACTGATTTAAATTTGTTTCCTAATTTTAAACGATTCATGCAATTGTCATGTTTTGTTTGGTTAAACGTGGTAATATAAAGTTAATGCATATTAGAAATGATGATATATATAATGGTAGCAAGTGTCTTAAATTACAGTATCTTACTTGGATTACATGATCTCTTTAATAAAAAACGAATAAATTCAAATTAAAAAGAGCAATTTCGAAGCTATTCATGTCGAAGAAATTAAGCTAATAGAACAACTTGCTGTATTATTATTATTATGGTTATTATTCAGCGATTTGTTTGATATTAATCTTTGACACATGCAGCATATATTGAATAATATGCGAGGATCAAAATTGTTTGTTTGCATATATTTATTGATATTATCTTTAAAAAGTTTCAACTTCAAGTACTTATGATTTACGACTAAAATTGGTATTATATTATATAATAATTAAATATTTCTTTAAATATTAGTTAATATTATCGCAAAAATTTGAACAAAATCTTATGATGTTAAAATATATTAAATTTGTTATGCAAAATATCTTCTTAGATATTACATCTATTATCATTTAACGAGTGTAAATTAGTGTATTTAAATTAGAAACATTCGTCAACTTACAGAGATGAAAATTTGAGTGAAAATATTTTGGTTACTAGTGCATGATGATAATAAGGTCAGATTAAGGTATTCCTCATAATTAATTGATGTTTATTTTCGTCCCAGCTTTCAACTTACCACTTTTCAGGATGGCATTAATTTGAAATCACTGATTTATAAATAAAGCACTGTTAATTAAATTAAATAATATAAGCGAAATATCTTAAAAGCACTAGATTATTACGATATATCTGCAATAAATACAATAATTACACACAACTTCAACTTCACTTTATTTCAAGTAAACAATTAACATCAATCTATGACTGATAAATAATAAATTTGCAGCTGAATTCAAAATTCCTGTTTTTCCATTCACTGTACTTTTTGCTAATAAGAATTAATTCGATTCATTCATTTCTTCGTTATTAAATTACAATAAAGTTCACTAAATTCACTAAATAAAAATGCATGGTGTTTCGACATTGTTTCAGTTTCAACCCTTTTTCAAATTTAATGAATTTTAAATTTCTGCAAAAATGGAAAGGAAATAACTACCACTTAGCAAAATTAGTAGTGCTAAATTTTGTTCATTCATGCATAACATTTATGCATGACAGTGATATAGTAATAATCACATGACGACAACAATGATATGATGATAATGACCGTGATGATTGCATCTTTGATTAAAATCATGATAATACTTAGTTATCAGTAGTCCATTAAACATCACAACTTACCTTAGGGAATTGCCACCACTTCCCTACTGCTCCTCCTTTTTCCTGCTACTGATCTTCTCTTCATCTCTTTTCCTGTAATCTTACTTTTCACCAGTGCTGCTCATTTTACTAAACATCTCATGGTTTCATCATTTTACCTTCTCTGAACCTTAATTATTATTACCACTATATTATCATTATTGTAATTATATTGCCATTATTGTTATATCCACCGTCACCATCACCATTCCTCATTTTATTCATTGCAATATCGATTCCTTAACTGCTCCATCAACACTCAACTTTGTACTTTTTAGCTTGTTATTCTTTACTACTTTTATATTTTTTACTTTAAGGTAATTATGAGTGAAATATTGGATAGTCTCAACAGAATGGGTAAGCTTGCATTATTTCTTAGTCAGTGCTTATGAAATCAATGCTTTATTCCACAAAATGCGAAGTATTTCAATCTTCCCAGAAATATTATATTTGATTTAGTCCATGATTGGTTGACTGATTCAAATTTGGTAAACATAATTTGATTTTCTAATTTTGGACTCTAACTAGAATTAATTAAATATTTGTTTCTTATGTAAATTCGATTCGATTGGATATATTGTGAGATATGATAAAATATAGGTTTAATTAATAGATAAATAATTAGATCAAACTGTGGAATATGTTGAATTTATTTGATAAATGATTAAATAAATTGAAGCGACAAACGCGCTTTCCGTATTTGTGTTCATTTCTATCTTTCTAATGTTTTATTACCTTTTTTTTTTCAATGTTTTTTTCAAGAAACATTTATTTGCTGAAAATTGTTAACGTCAGCTCAGTTATTGATGACCTACGCTTCCACAATACCTTCTCTTCCCGTTAAATCTTTTCAACCCTAATTTTTCATAACTTCAATATGACATCATAAAAGTGAAAGTGCACAAAGATATGCAATAATTTGAGATGAAAATACCGTAAATTTTAATTTCCTTCTACATAACTTTTCTTTTTTTGATTCTCCTCTTTTTTGCTCTGTTTATTCAAGTTTATTCAGTTCAATTATATTATTTAAGACAATTAGGAATGATAAATAGTAGGTGATTAGCTAATGGCACTATGTAATAAGAAGTGAAATGTGGCTAAGATGATTAAAAAATGACAAGTAATAGGATAAACATCTGCCTATAACTATTAAAGATAAGAATAGCACTTGTTTATTATTATATTAAATTTTATGATATAAAAAAATTGATAGATATTCTATGCTGATATCACTTTCGTCATAGTCATTTTTTATTGACAGTTATATTGCGGCTACCCTACTTGCAGTTTTTAGAGATATTCTCCGGGAGAAATTCTTCCCGAAAATCTTATTATGTTGTTTCATTAGTAAAATGTATATCTCAGAACTATAAAGTTCGTTAATTAATGAGAAAAAAAAAAGTATTTTTAAGGAAATGAAATGTCAGTTACTTCCAATTTTTCAAAATATTTTTTCGCTTTCTTTTTCTATTATCAAAATGTTGTTCTCTTTGAAAACTTTTTAGAATGCATATTACAATAAATGAATCATAAAACATTTGTACAATATTTTCATTTATTGAAAGATAATGATTTGAAATTTTATATTTACAAAAAAATATTTAATAAAATTTATAAAAATTTATTTAATAGTAGTAATATTTAACTAATAGTGAAATGTTAGTTTTAGCGTAGTTATTTTTATTTATTTATTATTATATCTTATGATAAGAACTTCAATATTAACTATATAATCTTTCCATACTTTAAAGAGATCAATTTTTTCTTTACTTACTGTTAATACTTGCCGATATAATCAGCGTGGTGTATAAATTTAGAAAAGTGTTGTATCTGTGGTGATATCGCGGATGGTTATCACTACGGTGTCTTGTCATGTCGTGGTTGCAATGCATTCTTTCGACGAGCTGTATCGCTCGATGTACAATTTTATTGTCGTCGAGGAGGTACATGTCGAGTTGATAAAAGTTCGTCTTTTCTAAAAGAGAGAAAGAAAAAAGGGCTGACTAATAGTGGACATATTTAACTATTTCTGCATTCTTTATTTGCTTTTTTTTTCTATTCACAATTAAATATTTAGTTAAGTTTTTTGGGTTATTCAAGAATTATTAATATTTGATAAGAACCAAATATTTCTGCTTGCTCTTCCCTTTACTTTTACTGCTCAAACATTTAATTTTAATATTAAAAGCCTTTTTCTGCAATAAAAGGAATAAATGATTGCTGTTCATTGATTATGAATAAATTACTAATTTTAATAAGAGAATTTTACAATGATAAATTAATTTTGTTATCATTTTGGAAACCTTTTGCTTATTTTAGATGCCCGATGTGCATGTCGAGCATGTCGTTTGAAGAAATGTGAAGAAATGGGAATGGATCGAAAAGGTATTTATTATTCTACTAATTATTTTATTAAAAGTTCATCGCTTACAAAAGTGTTTAAAAGTTAATATTTGTTACTGTTTGAATTAAGAGAATCAAGCATATCGCAACTAACTTATACTTTAAAAAACATTAAACGAGTGAGGAAAACTTTTCTTTATCATGCAATAAGAAACTTATCAAATTATCTAATTTAATCCATTCATTTGTGTTATATCCCATAAATTAATCGATTCTTTCATTCTTTTAAATTTTATTTCTTAATTTTTAAATTGTTTCCTTAGGAAAATTAAAATATGTCAGTCTTTTTTCTTTTTTTAACACTTCTAGTACAAACTTCTTTCAAGCTGTTGAATGATTTTTTTTTTTTTTGATTTTTCATTTTTGAATTATTTTTCACTTTTCATATCTTTGCATTTCTTAATAATTGTAAAATTTATAAGCCAATTAATCGTTTTATCATAATAAATTTTATCATTGCTTACACCTTATTTTATCATTCTTTTCAAAAAATTATATTTTGCATCGTTCTTTTTATGTTTTTCTTAATTCTCACAATGTTTAATACGAATATGAAAAATATATGTTAATTATAAGTGTATATTTTGACCATTTTTTAGTCGATATCCGAAATGTACTTTAAATTTTTTCTTTTCAGTCACTTTGAAGTACTATCTTCTTTGCAATTTACTTCAGATTCTAATCGACCATAAACTAATTCTGATTTCTCTAATAACTACTCGTCTAGCTGTGACAAGATTAGCTTGAACAATTCTTTTCAGTTAATTAGTAATAATTTGTTTCAATCCAATTAATTAATGATATTCTTATATTTTCAAAATTTATTTGTTAATCAATTTCAATGCAATATTATTACTCCTTAATATCATTTATTACACCATTTAGTGAACTTATTCACTAAATGTTGTAATTCATTCATCTATTTAGTCGTACAACTTAAACGTCTTCATGAAACTTACCAAAAATCAATGATAAAGATAAATTCAAGAAGAATGGCAGCAAATTCAATTGAATTCATCAATAATCCGTTATCAACCATCTCGAACAATAATCGATCCGAAATGGTACCACACAAACTTAGTTTTACTCGTCTTACATAGAATTTTCTAACACCCATAAAAGTGATAATGTGGATAAAACGATACATATTAAAAAGGAAACAGAATGGCTGTTTAATCGAAATAAGCAAAAATTTTTCTTTATTAAAAATAGTGGTATAGTTCATTTTTTCTAGAAGTTTTTATTTCAGAGAAGAGATGATCCATCAGTATCCAATTATGATTATGGTGTGAGTTCAGCATCACAAGAAAAAGGAATGATAGCTTGTTTGGTAGATGATTACAAGAAGCAGGTGATGGTAATTAACTTACTCTATACATTATTATCCACAATAAATCAAGGTCATAAATGGAAGATTTGGAAAAGTTAGCGAAAAAGAATGACCTATTGATAATTTTGCTATATGTCGTGAAACCTCAAATTTGGGTAATTAAACCTTTATTTAACATGAAGCAAATAATAGCTCTTTATACATATCGTACGGATGCTACACCGATCAACAAACGCGTAACGAAAGATATAATTATGAAACATTAAAACGATATCAAAACCACCCCAAAATGCAGAATGAACCACCGTATGGAGGACGATGGTTTATATGCATAACTGAGCTGATCAGATATCCGACAGAGGATATTTAACTGATGTGAAACAAAGACTGCTAATAAAGGGTTTTGCTAACAAAGAGTTTGCTAACAAAGGGTTTTTGTTGTGTGAGGAAAAGGAATCAGATAAGAGTAATTTGTTAGTTTTGGATATAATAATTTAAATCTTTCGTCTTTCACGACACTCCCGACCAGAAAAGGTAGGTAATGCGTGGGGTTCATGAGAAAGTAGGGGTTGTTTACTTCCATTGATCTGTTTTTGATCGTGTAAATCTCTACAGGTTTCTGATGATGGTGCGGTGATAGTTGTTTGGTCCTCCTTTAATCGAGATTGTCGTTTTGTATTGCTCCTAGTTCGCATCGCAATAGGTTCCTGGAGCTCCTCAGTGTTCTGTTCGGTTTCCGGAATTTTCATATTTTCTTTCTTATTAGGTTCAAGATGAATTTCTTCATCATTAACTTCGAGAGGATACAAGACATTTATTGGACGATCGAGAAGTTTCCCAATGGGAGTTTCCACCTGAACGTTCCTAACTTTACCGTCTTTATCGATTTTGATGTCCTTGATCCGTAATAATTTCCACATTCCTCTTGGAATTCCCGATTCATTTAAGACCCGATTCATTTAAGAGTACAATCTCTCCCTTTCTTGGAGTTCTTTTTTGTGCTCCTTTGGATGAGGTAATTTCCCTTTGCGTGCGTTCTCTGAGGCTAGTTAAATATTCGGTTCTCCAGATTTCCCAAAAAACATTGAGAGTTTTAAGGGTACTTTCCCAGTGTCTCACGAGTTTTTCTCTGGTATCTAGTCTATAAGGGGTGAATTCTTCCTGCCTGCTATAAACTTCATTTATAGGTAGATGGAGCGAAGCGTTAGGCAAAATAAAATCAATTGGACGTATAATGACGCAATCGTCAAAATTGGCGTAAGTTAGTGGTCGGGTATTAAGTATACCTTCAACTTCTGCAATTAATGTTACCAGTTCCCTTTCCGCTAGAAATTTTCTGCCAATGGCTCTTCTTAGCGCATTTTTCGTTAACCCAATTAATCTTTCGTAGATTCCTCCTTGCCACGGAGCTTTTGGTATAATATTTTTCCAAGTCATTCCTCCCTTTGCTAGGAAGTTGGAGACTTTGACTTGTGTCATAAGAGATCTGAAAGCCTGGAATTGAGTGGCATTGTCACTCAGAATTAGCTCAGGACACCCTCGTCTCGCAACAAATCTTCGGATAGCATGCAAAAAGGTTTCTGCGGATTGGTCTTCTGCTAATTCGAGATGCATGGCTCTTGTTGTAAAGCATGTAAATAATATTACCCACCTTTTTGTTGACACGCTATTGCCCTTGATTGAAAGAGGGCCAAAATAATCCACGCCAACACGTGCGAAGGCTCTAGATCGATTGACACGAGTTTCCGGGAGACTTGCCATTGATGGTAATTTAAACGATCTGGAGTTCCAACGTTTACAGATTCGACATCTGTTTATTATTCGCTTTACTTCAGTCCTGCCTTTGGGAATCCAAAATCTACTCCTTGATTCTGAAAGTGTATGGGCGATACCTGAATGACATAAATTTTCATGTTGGTATAGTATAAGGAGTTCTGTTATTGGATTGTGTCGAGGGAGATAGATAGGATATTTGCTGGTTTCAGGCAGTTCCGAGTTCACGAGTCGGCTAGTAGATCTCCATAGTTTATCATCTTCGGTGTGGAATAAATTCCACTTGTTTATTTCGTCGTCATTGATTCCTTCAGATTGTGCTTGTCTAATTAACAGCCATTCTGACACTTTGTAATCTTCAGCTGTAAATCGATTTCTTTCGATTGAAACAGACTGTAGCCATGATAATCTGCCTTTAGTTGTTAATCGAATGAATTTAAGGATCCACGCTGTTGTTCGTAACAGTCTTAGCCATTTGCTAAAACGTTTGCTATCAATAAATTGAAAATTATGATCCTTGCATATTCGCGAGACTTCTGATACAGTGATTTCTTCTGGTTCGTCACTGTTATCAAATTCGTATTCCCATTGTGGCCAACTGATTTCTCCTTTTACTAGCCACGACGGTCCACGCCACCATGGTGTAAAACTTCTAAGTTGGTTTGGATTAAGACCTCTAGTTGCCACGTCTACAGGGTTATCTTCTGATGGAATATAACGAAAAATAAATTTCGCTTTACGTATTTCCTCGACTCGGTTTTGAACAAATCTTGGTAATAGGTTAGAATGGTTTTTTATCCAATGTAAAGCACATTTAGAATCCGACCATAAAATTATCCTTGTATTGACGATATCCAGCTGTGTTATGACAAATTGCGCTGCTCGCGTTCCGATTAGTATGGCCATTAGCTCTAGACGCGGTATTGTCATACCTTTAATAAGAGCAATGCGAGATTTTGCAAAAATGAGCGATGAGGTTATTCCTTGCATATCCTGACTCACTAAATACACTGCTGCTGAATATGCTACGCTTGAAGCATCGGTAAATACATGTATTCCAATTAAGTCTGTAGAAGTTGTTACAAATCGCGGTAAGTTTTTTACGACCGTTGCCCATTCAGCAATAAGAAATTTCCATTGCTTATGGTCTTGCTCATCTAATATCTGATCCCACGAATTATTCTTTTTCCATAAATTTTGCAAAAATATTTTAAATCTTACCATTATTGGAACTAAAAATCCTAGTGGGTCATATTGTGATGCAACAAACTGTAAGATCGTTCTTTTTGTTAGTTCTCGGTCATTCCATGGATTTAATTTTATCTGAATGACGTCTTGACAGGGATTCCATGAGATGCCGAGGATTTTCGTATTTTTTCTTATTGCTCGATCTTGCTGCGGCAGTTCTGCATAAAATTCTTCATCGTTAGATAAGAACTCCCTTAGATTCATTGAGGCTTCATTGAAGATGGATTTCATTTCCGCATATTTTTCTAATGCGTCCTGCGTTCCGTTTGATGACACAATAACGTTGTCCACATAAAGGTTTTTCTTTATTTCCGCGGCTAATTCACTAACGTGGTTTTCCAAATGATAATTCAAGGTAGCAGATAGTAAAAAGGGGGATGATATTACTCCAAATGGGATTCTTCTAAAACGGTAACATTTTATATTCTCGTTGGATACACTTCCTTCTACTTCCTTTAGCCAAAGGAAGCGAGTACAATTTCTCTCTGAAGGGTGTAACTGTATTTGTAAGAATGCCTTTTCAATGTCAGCTGTGATTACCCCTTTCATCATTCTAAAGCGTAATAATACTCCTACAAGATCTGGGAGGTTAATTGATCCACGATATAATACTTCATTTAAACTTTTCATTCCCTTTATGTGCGCTGAAGCATCATAAACAATCCTTAACTTAGTGGTAGTTTTACCTGGATTACGAACATCATGATGTGGCAGGTAATGAATAATTCCATCTTGATTCATTTGTGATTGTACTTCTTCGATTATGCCAGATTGTAGTTGATCTTGTATTGCTTTATCATATTCTTGTAATTCCTCTTTATGGGACTGAAGTCGTGCTATTAGCATTCGCAAACGGCTGACGCATAATCCATAATTATCGCTCAATTTGCCTTTGCATGGTTTCCATGGCCAACGTACTTCGTATCTTCCATTTTGTTTAGTGATACTCTTTTTAAATTGTTCCAGTGCTTGTTCATCATCTTGTGTATCTGATCGATCTTGGATGCCAATACAGTCCAACTTCCAAAATTGATCTATATCTGGGGCACGGTTTTCTTGAGATGTCTTCGTTGCAAAGATCTGGTGATGGCACAATTCATTTGTATAACCGCTTCCTGCTATGATAGGTCCAACCTTGCTGTTCAGTAAAGTGAATCCTGACTTTAGTTGCTGAGCGTTTTCCATATGAATAAAGTTGAAGAAATAGTCAGCTCCTATAACTATGTCAGGTTGTTTCTTGTAACTTTTAAGATGGTAATTCTCACCTTTGTTTACCACTTCCATCACTTGAAGATCGTTTGTCAAATAATCCATTACAGTGGCCTGGATAGTCACTTGATCGGAGTTTTCCGTTTTCACTCCAATTTGTGTTTGAGTTGTGCGGCATACTCGATGAGTCCTATTGCCAAAGGAGGAGATCTTATACTCTTCTTCATCAGTTTCTAGGAGATTTAGTCGATGAGCTAGCCTTTGTGAGATAAAGGTCGCATCTTCGCCGACGTCAAACAGTACTAAAGCTTGTACTTGATGTTCAGGTTTATCAGGATTAAAGACATTAATTTCTCTACATAAAAGCAGTACTCGTTTCTTTTCAACTTTCTTAGTTGGATTAACAGATATGTTTGCATTTTTGGCAGCAATCTTCCCAGTATCACGAGTCTTAGTGGTACAAAGGGCGCTATTGTGGGATTTTTTGCAATAAAAACAACTTACTGTTTTTATGCAGTTGAGTTCGTTGTGTCCAGATTTAAAACAATTAGAGCAAACATTGATTTCCTTCAATCGATCAATTCGCTGCTCCACTGTAGAATATATGTGACACTTACTATCCCAATGATTGTTATTGCAGAAGATACAGGGTCTCCTTTTCTGATTTGTCGACCAATTTGGATTCTCTTGATTTAGCTGGTTCTTTTCGGCTGAAGCCGTTCCTCTTGTTTGCTTTGATTGTTTTATTGCAATCAATGCTGAATTTTCTGGAATGCTTGCGTTAGGATGACGTTTAATTAAATTTTTACGACTGACGTTATCCAAGTATTGCCATTGCATTACCTGGTCGTTTCTATTAATTGTCTTCCTGAGAAGCTGTCGAAGTTTTGTTACGGACCACTGGCCATCCTCTTCCTTTTGTTGATAAACCTGGTTTAATATCCAGTTTGGTAATTTGGATTCTATTATCGTTTCGATGGTAGGTTGCTCTACGTTTTCGCCAATTGCTTCTAACTGCCTTAGAACTCTCTCCATTTCTTCGATTATTGTTTTCCAGTCTCTGTCGTTTCGTTTTGTAGATATGAGTTCATTGTAAAGTAATTTTCTTATAGTGGAAACACGACCAAATTTCTCCACTAATAATTCTCTTATAATTCTATAGTTTTCAGGTGCCCTATCGTAACCTCTTACTAGCCGTAGGGCGTTTCCTCTTAAGCAAGAAACCAAGTAATTTAATTTTTGGATATCTGGTATGTTTTGAGAGTGTACGGAGGCTTCGAAACTACTCCAGAATTCTCTCCATATTTTAGGGTCTCCACTAAACGTTGGTAACGACAATTGTGGTAAATTTACTACTGGACGACATTCAGTTAAGCTAGGTCCTTTAATTTGTGCTAGACGTTTAAGGGCTAACTCTGTATCATCCTTGTACATAGATAAGGTTATAATGGTATCCGTACCTATGTTAATTAATTTTAAAATACCTCTATCGTCGTTTGCCATTCGTTCATATTTTTCTTCTTCTTTTTTCTTTTGCGACATTGGGGCTAGTTGAATGTGTTCCAACCATTTGTCGTTGATCTCAAGAGTGCCAACGTATTTTTCGAGGCGCATCAACTTTTCTTTGATGATCCTTGCCCTTGCTTCGTATTGCTGGCACAATACTTCTACTGTCGCTTTTTGGTCTAACGGAGTTAGATCCAATTGTCGTATTTCATCGAGGAGTCCCTCGAGATTCGCTTTTACTGGTGTAGCTTGAACAATTATATTGGCCGACATACCTTACCTCACCTCGATGCACCAAAAATTATTTTGTCGTGAAACCTCAAACTTGGGTAATTAAACCTTTATTTAACATGAAGCAAATAATAGCTCTTTATACATATCGTACGGATGCTACACCGATCAACAAACGCGTAACGAAAGATATAATTATGAAACATTAAAACGATATCAAAACCACCCCAAAATGCAGAATGAACCACCGTATGGAGGACGATGGTTTATATGCATAACTGAGCTGATCAGATATCCGACAGAGGATATTTAACTGATGTGAAACAAAGACTGCTAATAAAGGGTTTTGCTAACAAAGAGTTTGCTAACAAAGGGTTTTTGTTGTGTGAGGAAAAGGAATCAGATAAGAGTAATTTGTTAGTTTTGGATATAATAATTTAAATCTTTCTCTTTCACGACACTATACAAATAAGATGCAAATAATCTGCCACACAAATGGTAGCCAATTTGAAACGATATATTTGATTGATGAACTACTTGCGTATTGTAAGATTTGTTTTGTGATATTTCAAACAATAAATGTAAATGTACGGTAATGGTGTACTGTTGTAGCGGTATGTAACTAATTTGTAGAGAGAACGACGACGAATGATGCTATGTCAATGTGTTGAAGAAATTATAGTTGATGAGATTGAAAGTGAAGGGATATTGAAAGGACCTGCTTCCACTCTTGATTATGTTGACATTTTTAAAGTGCAAGTGGTTCTAATGCATGAATGGGTTTTAAGGCTTGAAGAGTTTAAGTAAGATTTTGATTTCTTTCATTCTTTTTTCTAAATAATACTGAAATATTTATTTATTAAAACAATCATAATCAATTACTTAATAAATTAGCGTATGACAAATACGATCATTAAAAAATTAATGTCATATTAATGACATAATTATTTCCTTCAATAATCGGCAATAATAGATATAATTTTTTTTTGATGTAATTAACGTGGTATTAATTAGTTTGATTATTAATTGCCGCCTGCTATTCTTTCCAGTGCTATAGAAGATCCATTTGATAAATCAAAATTATTACGACGTTTTACATTACGATACATGTTATTGGATAATATCTTTCATGCGGTAGAATTGGGCGTTCGCGATCGAATAATTCTTGTCAATAATACATACATAATTCCAGGAAATTTTCCGAATAATATGCCGGATGAAACCCAAATTAGTCAGACAATAAAACGCATGTAATTTACTAATTTTTGATGATTATGTGAATTACTCATCAAATAATTATCAATTACTATGTAATTATTTTGGATAATCAGCACATCAAATGCAATATTCCTGAGATATGATATTTATGCTAGCAATAAATTTTAAAGTTTTTGATTTAAGTGAAAAAGTAATAAGAGTAATTCAGGATGTATGGTGAACGAAGTGCTCAATTGATTGATGAATTAATTGCTCCAATGATTGATATGAATTTTACTATTGGTATGTAGACAAATCATCCTTTACGAATTTACATGACAATAGATTGTGTAACATTTTCTTAAAAAAAAAAAAAAAAAAAAAACAAACAAACAAAAAATCAAGTTTGAATTTACATAGGAAACTTAGCGAAAAAGCATTAATGCAAAAGAGCGATAGAAACTTGTTTATGATTAAGATTTAAACCAAATCCTGAATATTTTTGAAACAAATAGCTTTGAAGAGTTTTAATAATGCATAATTCTACCTAATTTAACTACTAAAAATCATCGATAGAAATTAGAGTTACATAAAATAAGATGAATATTATTGTTTATTTATTGGGCCAATTTTAAGTAATCTTGTAATTTAACGTTCAATTACATAAGTGAATAATCTTATTATTTTCAGGGGAGTTTATGGCTTTACGCTTAATAACATTTTGGAATCCATACGGTGTGGCCTTTTCACCTCAAGCAAAAAAAACTATCGAGATGGCGAGAAATCGAGCTGTCAATGAGTTATACCGATGGTATTCAGATCAACATTTTGAATCGATCGATATTCGTCTAGGCAATATATTGCTTTTACTTTGTCCAATAACTGTAAGCTTCTTTTCATTTCTTAATTTTATATGTGATTTGGATTTAAAAATTTGCTAATTTATGCCTTACCTTATTATGTGTGTGCATGCTTGGATTGACCAGCTAACTTTTATTGACCATTAATTTGATTAAATATTAATTAAATCAAAAGCAAATCATTCTTCAGGAACAATTACATTATATGACAGAAATGGTTAAACTAATTCCATCGTTTGGTACACTCAATGAAAGGGATTCATATCTTCAAAACATACTTGCAACGTGATCTTTCATACTTCATTATTTTTCTTTCTCTCTGTCCTCCTTTCTTTTTCTCTCCCTCCCTCTCCTTCCCATTTCCTTATTCTTTTTGAGTCATTTTTTTTTTAAAAAGTCTTATTTTATTTGCTGAAATTTTGCATTTTTTTTTTTTGCTATTCATTTATTTAATCTTAGCCTATAAGTACTAGTCATGGCCTTAACCATACAATAATGATTTGTGGTGTAAAAAAAAAAAAAAAATTTAGTATTTCTTTCTTACTGCTCTGCTTCCTTGCGAAACAAAGTAGTTTTCTTTCTTAATAGTTCAGATCGTTGACTTCTTTGTCTTCGATACTGGAGATTCTCGAATCTGTATTGGTTCCGTCCTGTGTACGTGTACTGTGGGAGTCTTCGTGAAATACTTTATTATTCAAACCTCAAACTTGGGTAATTAAAGCACAGATTAACATTAAAAATTATACAACATTACAATAACGAATTGACACATAACACACAAATATAACTTAATTATAAAACATTTAAAGATATAAGCAAGCTAGACACCTCCCAACCGAGACATACCAAAGCAAGAAATTATAATGAATGGTTTTGTAACGAAGAAAATTGGGAGGGATTTTATGGATGCTAAGGTTACAAAGTAGATTAAAATCATTTAAAACAATAGTCTTTGTCCACTACGTTATAGCTTAGCCATTGTGGCGACAGATGAATTATGGATTTGGTTGTATAATAATTCAGGTTTACTGCATTTTCAGATTTCATAATTGTCCCATCTCTATTGTTACTTGTAATTTCAGTTGTAAAATGCAACATGAGCCTTAAATTTTAATAACAATAAATTTAATTGGATCAATTAAGTGAATATTTTATCATTCCATTTTTAAATTTGCCAAATTAATAATTTTTACCATTTAATTTCAGATAATCATTCATTTTTTTTCAATTGGAAATGGGAAGAGAATAGTTTACTTAATGTTTTAATAATTTGCAATGAATCACCAAAAATATTCATAATATTATTCATATCGATGCAAAAGTAACTAATGATAGACACTAATTATTAACTGATGAATTTGATTTTTTTAATGAATTAAGTGAATTTGGTGAAATTTATTCTTTCAAGCATGTCTGTATCCTTATCCTATTCCATATAAAATAATATGAAGCATTCAATCAATTCATTTTATAAATTATTTGTTTTATTTTTATTTGATTACTTCGCCAATTAAGAATTAACTCATTAATTGTTAATTTTTTTGCTTTCTCAATTTATCAATGAATGCATAAAGTTTCAATTTTCTTGTCATTTATCTTCGTTTTTTGTCATGAAACATTAATGGTACGATTAATATAAAGTTCCAAATGATAAAAATTCAAACGTGCAAAAAGTTAAGAACAAATTTTATTACAACGAAAAAGTATGCTCAAAGATTTTTAGAGCGAAATTGAAAACTTAACTTAAGGGAGTCGAAAATGAAGAAAATATATTTAATCACAGCAAGCCTCATGATGGAATTTGCAAAAACTAAAAATGAAAATTAAACTTATCAGATAACTTATTGAAAAATAAATTCTAATTTACAAAACGTATTCGAAGTGCATTAAATCTGAAAAATAGGCTTATCAATTATTTCTAGATGTGATTATAATTTTCCACTATTACCTTACCAAGTCGTTTTTATTTCTTATAGCTGATAATTTGAAGCCTTATTGTATTGCACACAAGTGTTCTGCAGTAATATGTTAACGTACCATTTAGAAGCAATTCAATGATAAATGCATGAATTCTGAATAAAATTTAAGTGTTATTTGAATCGACCAAAAATTTTTGATTTCAATCAAACAGCATTGTTTTCCATTAGTAATTGTCATTCTGGAAATTCTAAATTAAAGTTTTTTAATGTAGGATATAACTCCTTAAAAAATGAAATAAACTTGTTTTTTTTTCAAGTTTTGATGTAATGAAAGCTGACAAATTTGTTTTTATTGTTTAATCAGTGTTTTGTTTAAATTAGCCGCAAAAGATTTGAAATTAATTTCTCAGGTTTTTTTTGAACATTTGAATCTAATAAAGATTTTTTGAATATAAAAATAAAAAAGTATTAAGAAAAAAAATGTAGATCAATTAAACACTACAGATGAAAATTATCTATTTTAATAATTGCCTTAAAAAATGTATAATATTTTATAATCCATACATTATATATTTTCATTTATCAGTAATTTCAGAAAATTACCTATTTTAATAATTGGCTTAATGACATTATTAATTGATATTAATGACTTTATATTATATGGCTTAATGGCAACATTTGTTTCATCGATATAGTAAAACCTTTTTGTGCATACAATATTTTATATTGTTGATCGATGCTTGCCTTGATCAATATTTTAAATGAATTGCATATGACAATATAGCTAAAATATTTTAGCTATTTAATTTTTAAGCATAAACCATTCGTTCTTTTGATTTGCACAATAAGCCAACAATAATAAGTTATAGGCTTTCCATCTAGTAGCAATCATCGTTTTCTCTCTTCACTTATCACTGAATGGTGAACAATTAAGAAAACCTGTTTGTCTCATCTTATCGACATTACAATCATTTGATATTTTCTACATCAGATGCCAAAGAACACAGCCAAATATTTTTTTACCTATGCTAAATAATTTACTTCTTCATCTCTTTATCATTATTTCCATTATGTACGAATATTACTAATTATTAATTCATAAAGAAGAGTTACTGCATTTTTGAATTGTCATTGCTGAACGTATGATAGTAATTTAAATGAATATTTTCATTCCGTTTTCTCTTCGTTTTCATTTTTTTAATGCAAACCTCATTCGATATTTAATTCAAAACTTCAATTAATTTCATATTCTTTATTTTATCTCCTTATCTTTCTAAGTTTATTTCTATCACACTGATAAGAATACGAGATGCTACTCATTTTAATTACATGCACGGAAATTTTTCGAGGAATAAACTGTAAGCCACAAATGATAATGCATCATTCTCCATCATCTCAACAATTACCACCAATTTTAATGCCTGCTAATAATAGACCTGAATCAGATGACCGGTTGCTCTTAAGAATGCTATCACCATCACCGCCACCACTGCCACCACCGCCGCCACTACTACCACCACCACCACTTCCACCACCATTGCCGCTTCCACCATCACCTCTACTGTTACCTCCTCACTCCTCTTTACTGCCATTATCATTCTTAAATGTTGATGATATTCCATTTCTGATGGATCATTTTGCTCCAACTCCATTTGATCATATACCACCGCGAGCGTTTCAGCAAATACAAATGTTCTGTTACAGGTATCCGGCACATAGTAAATGCAGGTTAAATTTTAAATATTGTCGAAATTTTAAAAATGCATAGTATTTAGTGCTAATTAATTGTCGCATTGCAGTTGCATAAGTTGTCTTATTTATTTTAAATTTTCATTAACACAATGAATACACTTTGATTTATTCAGGAAAAAAGAGTGGAGAACAGTTCAAACAGTCAGTTTTCCTACGCAGAAAGTAAGGTTATTAATTAATGGACCAAAAAATAATTTGATATTAATGTATTAATATAAATATTAATAAATAATGTAAATAACTCTGAATGAAGTTTTTACAAATTTTTTTTTCGAGGAACAGAGAAAATGAAGCAAAAATTCAAGAAAAAATAAAAATTTTAGGTAGTCACAAAAAATCGAAAATTTTTAAAAAGTTTTTCCTCCTAAACTTTCGAATGATTTAATAATTTGTTTCACTCATTTTCCAAACAGAATTCTTGAAATTTTCTCAGTTTTTTTTTTGCTTTTGATTTATAGAATGCGAGTGATTTTCTCTCTATACCAGAAATACCCCAAGTTGATGTATTGAAAAATGTCCCAAAGAGTTTAATTGCTGGTGCGCCGCGATTTGCTTTCCGGGAATTGAAAAAAGAGAATCGCGAAACACTTCTAGTATGTGCATAGCGAATTTATTTTATGTAGAGAATATATGAGAATAGATATTCTGGTATTCTTCGATTTCCAATACATTTTTTGTAGCTACGATCTATCATGTGGGTTTTTACAGAAAATAGGATGAAATTCAATCTGAGAGGAGGATTGATAGAAAATAAAAATTTCAGAAGACTTGCTTATATGAAGTGAAATGTTTGCAGCAAGAAGAAAAATCAACGCTAAAGCGTGAACAAATTGCTGATCTTGAAATCAATCTTGCAAAAAAGTTTAATATCTTTTTCTGCTTTTTTAAAAAACGCTAATAAACATTGTTTAAAAGTGCATAGTATTTAGTAACTTTCAAATTACGACAAATTTACTGAACGATAATGATAGTAACAGTTACTATAAAGGAGTTAAAATGGTCAAGATGTAAAGTATCATATATAAATTCGTTAAACTTTTGAAGTATTAGAACACGTCTAGTTTATTACGTGGAACCCTGATAATTCAAATCAATTTGCTATTCATGAAAAAATAATATTTGGCTTGTTTTGCATGGTTAAGCCTATTTTAATAGACTATTTAAGAAAAGGTATTGATAATTTGGAGGATCACGTCGAATTAAGACTAATGCGCACACAACAGGTGAAGAATTCATTGCTAGAATTTGCTGGAATTGCTGATTCGGTTTGGTTTGTCATAAAAAATTATTTCTAAAAATATTGAAAGTGTTTTCTAGTAATTAAAGCGAAGTAAAGAGAAAAATTCGATCTATAAGAATGATATCATCGAAACATTGATAATCACAAAATATATTTTTAGATTATTTAAAAAGATATTTATAGGTAGTACCCGCAGATGATGGAACATTTCAAGATGATGTACTACTAACTGTACAACAATCTAATCATTTAATTAATTCAATTAATAATCCGGAAGTACGCAAAAAAAGGCAGTCACTGTTTCTAGATGATTTACCAAATGAGAAATGGAATGTTACTAAACCAATTAAATATGTTTTAGATTCATCTCTTGGTTAG